AACTACCAGTCAATTCGGTTTCCTAAGTAACAAATGTACTAATGATGCAATGTTTTCCCTTTTCAATAATGTATACTCCAGCCTGAACTGCCACCACTCTACAGCCTCAATTTTCTGTGATTTCTCCAAAGCTTTCGACTGTGTTAATCATAATATCTTAATTAACAAATTACAGTTCTACGGTTTCAGAGGAATGGCTCTCGAATGGTTTAAGTCTTATCTTGGTAACAGAAGTCAGCTTGTGAGGGTGGACTCGACCATGTCCTCTTGTAAACCAATTGAATGTGGTGTGCCTCAGGGTTCAGTTCTTGGCCCTATTTTCTTCCTGCTATTTATTACCGACATTGCTAGTCTGGATATTAGCGGCAAAGTTTGTCTCTTCGCAGACGATACTAGTTTCACTTGGAGCAACCCGGATATTACGGAGCTCAATAGAACCGTATCTAGTGACTTAATCACCATCAAATCATGGTGTGACTCAAATCTCCTGTGCCTCAACCTCTCTAAAACCAAAGTTTTATCTTACAGAGCTTCGCTCCAATCTGTAGTACTGGATAACAATACCATAGAGGCCGTTGATTCCGTGAAATTCCTGGGGCTTGTTGTTGATAAATCTCTAAAGTGGGACCTGCATATCGACGCCTTAGCAAAGAAATTAAGTTCGGCCTGTTTTGCACTGAGATGTGTTTCCAGGGAGCTTAACTCGGCAACTTGCAGGATGGTATATTATGCTCTTTTTGAGTCGCATTTACGTTACGCCCTTCCATTCTGGGGCACGTGTTGTGCGTCTCAATTTGAACGCATTTTTAGACTGCAGAAGAGAACTCTTCGTTATTCTTTGGGACTTGGTAGTAGAACTCACTGCCGGGAATTTTTTATCAAGTCTAGTATATTGACTCTTCCATCTTTATTTATTTTCGAATCCGTCTGCTTAATTCGTAAGCACTTAATATCAGCTATCTCAGAGAGGCCATCTCACAATTATCCACTGAGGAACGCAGAGTTGGATCTTTATCTGCCAATCCCGCGCTCAGAGTTAGTTAAAAGTTCAATACTTTATAATGCTAAAAAGATGCATGATCATCTACCGCCTAACATCAGGTCCATTGCATCTTTTCTCGAATTTCGCAGGGCGTTGAGGGTGTATTTACTGGGGAGAGCCTTGTACACAGTAAGTGAGTTGTTTATGGTTTCCTAATTCCAAATTTTGAGCAGCTTACTCACAGGTTTTGTTTTTGTTCCTGTATCATGATAGGTTATTATAAGTTATTGTTTGTTTGTTTTTTTAGTACCTATAATATGCTTACTCGCACAGTATAAGCAGTTAGACCTAGATGTTTGTTTATTAGTTTTAATCAAATTTTGACCATGAACTATTTGTTCAAGTGTTTGGTTTTGTCTGTGCTTTTGCATTTGTATGTTTTGTTTTTTATTTTTTCAGCTTTGTCCACAAAATTGTAAAATTTTCTGACAATAAAGCAAATTCTTTCTTTCTTTCTTTCTTTATATATATAGTATTTTTAATACCCATTTGGGATAACCCCATCCTTATTTATCAATCACAAATCGGATGAAACAAAAAATTACCAAAAAAAACGAACGTCGAATGCTAATACGTCAATTTCATGTACAAATAGAAAATTCTTAACCTAATTTTATTTGTGTGTTCAAGAAGCGACATACGTTTAGTCACTAGAACGACTGGTACTTCTAAATAGGTATTGAAAATTCTATGACCTACGGCAATGACAGCGATTGTCATTTTTGACAAAAAATCCATTGTAGAAAAAAGACTGATTTACCCAAAATAGCGAAAAATTGCAAGACTTGTCAGTCTGGTGTCTCACTTTCAATGCTCACGACTGTATGTACCAATGAACTATATAGAATACTAGGTACTATCTGTCCTTCGATTGATCTCAGGTATGTACAGGTAACTCTATGTACTTAACACATATTCGACGAATTCATTAGTGCAACAAATATATAATGCCTATGTTCCGATATCAACTGTCAGTACTGAATTTACTGGACGCCGTTCCGATATTACACTGGATTCAGTCGATTCAGTACTGAATGACTACAAAAGTACGCTGTTGAAATCGGAACGGCAAATGACAGTAAAATCAGCACAGTAATTTTTTAGTTTAACCGTTATAAGGTGTCAGGGTGCCACGCTCTAAATTTGCTACATTTTTTTATACGTAAAAATACAGTTTTGGACGAACGGCTTTGGGGGCCTGGACCGATGCCCTCCCCCCTGGGTGCGTCACTGTCCAGGAAATCTGGAAAACTTTGGAAAATGGAGAATTTTTTCAAATATCCAGAAGCCTTTTAGCTTTAACATACTAGAATTTGATTGAGAAAAATGAAAGAGCAGAGTTACGAAATTTTTAATCCCAAAGAGACACTATGTGATATTTTTACAATACAGAGTATGTCCTGATTTTAGATTGTTTTCGGGAAATATGAGATACTTTGGAAAATGGAGAATTTTTTTATATATTAGGAAGCCATTTAGCTTTAACATACTAAAATTTTATCGGAAAAACCAAAGATAGCGGAGTTAAGATTTTTTAATTCCAGAGAAACACTAAGGCCCAGTTGTACAATCTTGGTTCAAATCAGAGTTCAGCTAAACTCGACTGGTACTTGAACTTCCCCATCTAAAATACATTGCTGTCAGCTATTAATCAAATTCTAGCAATTTTGACAGCAATGCGATTCAAATGGGGAAGTTCAAGTACCAGTCGAGTTTAGCTGAACTCTGATTTGAACCAAGATTGTACAACTGGGCCTAAGTGATATTTTTACAATACAGACTATGTCTTGATTTTAGATTTTTTTCCTGGAAATCTGGGATACTTTGAAGAATGAAGAATTTTTTCATATATCCAGACGCCTTTTAGCTTTAACATACCAAAATTTGAAGAAAAAAAAAACAAACATACCGGAGTTACGAATTTTTTAATCCCAAAGAGACACTAAGTGATATTTTTACAATATAAATTATGGCCTGTTTTTAATTTTTTTCCAGGAAAGCTGGGAAACTGTGGAAAATAAAGAGTTTTTTTATATATCCAGACGCTTTTAAGCTTTAACATATCAAAATTTGAATGGGAAAAAACCAAACATACCGAAGTTACGATTTTTTAATCCAAGAGAGACACTAAGTGATATTTTTACAATACAGACTATGCCTTGATTTTAGATTTTTTTCCTGGAAATCTGGGATACTTTGGAGATTGAAGAATTTTTTCATATATCCAGACGCCTTTTAGCTTTAACATACTAGAATTTGAATGGAAAAAAAAACAAAGATGACGGACTTACGATTTTTTAATCGCATAGAGACACTAAATGATATATTTACAATACAAACTACGGCCCGATTTTAGATTTTTTTCTTGGAAGTCTGGAATACTTTGAAGAACAGCAATTTTCTTTATGTATCCAGAAGCCTTTTCGCTTTAACATACTAAAATTTGATTGGAAAAAACCAAAGATTGCGAAGTTACGATTTTTTAATCTCAAAGAGACTGGTGATATTTTTACAATATAAATTATGGCCTGTTTTTGATATTTTTCCAGGAAATCTGGGAAAATTTGGAAAATGAAGAAATTTTTTATTTATTCAGAAGCCTTTTTGCTTTAGCAAACCAAAATTTGATTGGAAAAAAACCAAAGATAGCGGAGTTACGATTTTTATTCCCAGAGAGACACTAAGTGATATTTTTACAATACAGACTATGTCTTGATTTTAGATTTTTTTCCTGCAAATCTAGGATGCTTTGGAAAATGAAGAAATTTTTCATATATCCAGAAGCCCTTAAGCTTTAGCATACTGAAATTTGATCGAAAAAAAACCAAAGATAGCGGAGTTGTGATTTTTTAATCCCAAAGAGACGCTAAGCCATATTTTTACGACAGAGACTATGGCCTGATTTTAGATGTTTTTTCCTGGAAGTCTGGAATACTTTGGAGAATGACTTTTTTTCATGTATCCAGAAGCCTTTTAGCTTTAACATACTAAAATTCGATTAGAAAAAAACCAAACATAGTGGAGTTATGATTTTTTAATCCTAAAGAGATACTAGGTGATATTTTTACAATATAGATTATGGCCTGTTTTTGATTTTTTTCCAGGAAATCTGGGAAACTTTGGAAAATCAAGAATTTTTTTATTTATTCAGAAGCCTTTTTGTTTTAACATGCTGAACATGCTGGTTTAATGAAAAGATTTAAAGTTTAATGATAATAAAATAATTATTGTTCTGCTTAGTTTTATGATTTTTGACTGAAGGTTTTAATCATTAGAAGTATTGAAAAAATTTAATTAAATTGTTTAATGATTATAAAATATGGAATATTGTTCTGTCGGGTAAATTATTTTGTATACAGCAAGGCCCTTTTGAAGATTCATTTATACATATTTCCAAAATTTTCAGGAGTATTAGCACTCTGGATTTAGCAAGTAAAAAGGAGTGGCTGTGTAAACGATTAGAAAATTTGGATTTTTCTTTTTGTTATTTGGCCTCGTTTATTCTTTATAATAAAATTATAGGTATATATATGAAACTGCAGTTGTTTCTCTCATTTGCAAATAGACTTCTTCCACAATTTTATTTGTAGCTACCCAAGGAAATAAACCATCAATAAAACCACTCGCCATTTACCATCCAACTAATTAGTAAAGTACCTACTTGGCCGGACTGCTACTTTATTCAGATTAATTCGACATACTTTAATGTCCTCGTCGTGTCCTCCACGAAATTCATTAAAGGAGCATCCAATAACTTAATGAACAATTTTGTTGATTTGTACAGAGTAAGGGTTCAATTTTATCATATAAAAAATGTATGCTATTCAAAGATAATCATCAATATTCAACAGCAACAGAAATGTGGGTGTTTTAAGCAATGCTCACGAAAAAAAAAAAAAAAACACAAGTTCAAAATGTTTTATAAAAGAAAATAAAGCAATCAGATAAATTTTCTTACATTGATTGATCGCCTCTTTGTAGCCACAATGAATAACCAAAATATCCATCAGCCACGCCATCAAGGCTTATTATTGTTACACTTTCTGTATTAAATATATGCGAATTTATTCTGGAAAACATCTGGTACACTAATAAAATTAAAACACAAAACACCATTATTGGAAGACAAGCTTTTGTTAAACTGCAAATACCCACTTAGTGATTTACAAAATGCGGTTATTCATCAAATTTTCATTATAGATACGTATTGCGGTCACATTGCACTTTATTTTAGAATGTGAATCCTTTGTTTTCTGATAAAAAATTTAATTAATAAGTTACCTTATCTAGTAATTCGGGAAAGAAACATACTTAATTATAGCTACTGGCTAATTTTCAAATGATTTTTACTAGCTCTTATTATTCAAACCTTCTGGATTTAATTTATGTATTTTGGATTATCGATTGTACAAAACATCCAAGGAAATCAGAGGATTCTTTGGACTCCGCTCAGATACTATAGGAAAATTATCAAGGATACAGGCAAAAATTAACAAAACGTATTAAAATTTCTTAATTGCATCAAGATTCGCAAAATTCTCTTGACCAGTATTAGCTTCTCAAATCTTTATAGAGAAAGTTGAATTTTATAATTTACTGGGTTTAGGACTAGCAGATAACATTTAGGTATCGTTTAATGTACGTAATTGAAAAAAATTGTGTTAGTTATGTTATGTATTATTTTTTAATTTTATTTTATACAATTTTTACAGTTACAATTTTGGGTTTTGTTTAAATGTAGGTACTTCATATTTATAAACAAAGGGAAACAGATAATTTTATTTTAGTTTTACAGTCACAGTGCAATACTTCTGGATCCCAATTCCCAAATTTGTCATAGAACTTCCACACTGTTGCAATGAATTTTACCGAAACAAATTTTTAAACAGAAAAAATAATTTCTTTTTATGCCAACTTGCTTCAGTTTTTGTCTAATCTTTTTTCATTTACTTGCGAGGTTGATTACATCTCTCCTGAATTACTTCACAAACTACTTTAAGGTTGATTTTGGTCATTTCACTAATTCTCTCCAGAATTTGGTTTTCTGAAAAATCATCATTTTCTTTTTTCAGATTGGAATAAATATTGAAAACAATTATTTTGGTTTGAATATCTAAGTCTGAACCTAAAATTAATGTTGTTAAGTAGGTAGGTATAACAAAAAAAAAAGTTTAAAAATACTTACTTGTTTTTGCTTCAGAAATACTTGGACTACGTCTGGCTCTTGCAGGTGTCATGGTCTGTTTTTTCGATATTGAATCAGAATTATTTCCATTTTGTTGTTTACCAAGTTGTTTTTTTGTAGCTGCATTTGGATGTGTTTCAGCACGCGTAGCAGCTAAAAACAGAATAATAACAAAGTGATAATAATGGAAGAAAAAAAAAACCCACGTAATTCAACAGAATTGCTTAAAAGTAGAGTTGGAACGGCGTCATTTGGTATATTTGACTGTCGTCTGCTGTCCATAAGATCAGGTTCCCTTGCAAAGTGTACACTACAGACTCTGTAACAAGCTCGAACATTTTCTAGGGGTTTTTGATTCAAATCCGGACGGCCGATTGCAGCTAACCAAAGATCAAATAACTGAAAAAAGAAAGGATATTTTGATGGTTTAATATACTGCTTCTTATATAATTCAAGAAGTAACATAACAATCAAATATCAATTAGGAATAACCATGAGTGAAAATTTAAAATAAATTTTACAACTTATCAAACCTTTCATTGGCGAAAGCCAATATTTAATAAGAAACAATGAGTTTTGCCAAACTAATTTTACTAGTGGAAATGCCCGGCTAGACTATCCATCCACCGTGTAAATTAATAATCGACACAGGAAGTCATGCCTCTTTAATAAGACCAAGACCCTCAATCGCAGAAGAATACTTCTCATTATAAATTCTATAATTAATTCACAAAACAAGTTAACTAGTTGAGAATCAGCCTATTATACTCTCGCATACCTAATATTAATAACTTGGCAGATAAGTTTATCTTAGAACTTATGATGACAAAAACTTTGAGATATTTAATATTGAATAAATGACTTCATCGTAACGCAAAATGATGATTATGGAAAAGACCTGGTGAAATCATGGCATAACTGCATAAGTACCGAGGTATAGGTACTTATCATTTAAATTAAGATGAATTTGATGCTTTGAAACGCGTTATTGAAGCCTTTCCTAAAATCTTTTATGAACCAAATGATAAATTGGCCTTTACAAATCAAGTCAAACATTAAATTAAAACAATGGATGAAATACCGGTGCACACAAAAACGTATAGATGATACCCACATTTGCATAAACAAGAAGTAAATTCTCAAATAAAGAAAATGTTAGAAGATAACATAATCAGTAAACCCTAATGATCATCCCCTGTATGGATAGTACCTAGAAGAGAAGATACCGCAAGGATACAAAAATGGAGAATGGTCGTAAATTACAAAAAATGAACAAAAAAACAATCGATATTTGATGGTCGATATCCATTACTTAATATTACGGATATATTAGACCGAATTTGTCGTAGTAATTATTTTACGACACTAGATTTAGCCTCTAGCTTTCATCGAGTAGCGTTTAATGTTGGAAATGGATCTTACGAATTCAACAGAATGCCCTTTGGATTAAAGAACGCATCAGCAACCTTTCAAAGAGTGATAGAGGGTATAAGTTTTAAATAATATAGTTTTTCTTTCAATTTAAAATATACAAAAGCTCGTATAATCAAACTAGGTCTTTCCGCACTGAAATCACAAATCAGAGTAAATTTCATTGGTTGAAAGTTGAAACTAGTTTTCTGAGTGTTTTCAACCAATGAAAATCGCTGTGACTGGTTTGTGATTGCTTTGCGAACAGACCTGTTGTCACCTCATCGTTTAATGCAGGTGGTTCATGGGCGTACGAGCAAAATGTTTGTTGAAGTAGCTATAGTCTACATGGCAAGTGGTAACTTAATAGTAACGAAAGGGGGAAGAAAAGTGGGGCGTAGCCTTTATAGGAACATTGACTGACGCCTCCTAGACAACCATATCGTTGGATTCAGATTTCAGTGGCTCCGAAAACACTAAAGAAATAAGTCAATAAAATTATTAGAAAAAAACTCTATAGTTTAACCAATAGCTACGCCACTGTGCTGTCAATGGCTCTAACTGCCGAATTTTTTTCTATTTCAACATACTACATATTGTTAAAAGTTGATGATAAAAAAATAAGCAAACCGCCTTTTTTTTTACCCAGCATCCCTTTGTATTTGTATGGTAGAAAATGATCATATCATAGTTGCTGCTGCCTGCCTTTTGTGTGAATTTATTGCTTGTTTGTACAAGTTCGAAGCCCATTTTTTGCTTGTGTCACACTTTTGAGAGGGACCCTTTTTCCCTTGAAGGGTAAAAAGATAAACGCAGAAAGCAGGTAGTCTCGTGACGGTCTTGTCGGAAGGCACTTGTAATTTTTCTATTTTTAAAATATATTTTTGTCCGAGAAATCGTCGTTTAATTTAGTAGAAGTTAACAATACACTCAAGGTTCCTAAAGAAAGTTAATAGGTTGCCTGATAATGGGTAGCTTGATGACGCACCTGGGGTGCCTTATGGAGATTTGCATTATGTTGAGGCACCTCAGATGACGTCATAAAGTTATCACGCAACCTACCTATATCAAATTTCCAACTAATAGTTTTTCTGTAAAAAAATATAGAAAATCGAAATAACTCTCTTCGCGCCAAAACGCAGTCGTAAATCAATGACGTCACAAGACGATATCTGTCAAAACGAGCCGACATAGAATGGTGGATCCATCGGTAGAATTCGATGTAAACACAAGCGTCTGACGGCTCACGTTAACATAACCACACTTTTGTTTGTTTATCGTTTCATGACGTCATAATCAATTTGAGAGCGTTTTCGCCCCCTTTGTTACATTCAATATTTGAATATTTATTATTTATTAGTGGTTCAGTATAAAGAGGATTTGAATATAGAAATATACTTCTAAGATGTAGTATTTTTTTTCAAGATAGATTCTGACATTGAAAACTTTAAAACATAAACAATACCACTTGGCCCTGATTGGTCGAAAAATGCGGTGTCCTTGCAGGTTGAAATCAGTTTTACAATCAATGCATGTCGTGCAAATGGCATCTTGCTACCAATAAGCGGCATTGTTTATGTTTCAAGGTTGACAGTGTCGAAATCTATCTTGGGAAAAAATACAGTAAATATAAGACTCATTGACATTTTTGGTAATAGAAACTTTCATCGTCTGCATGACGCATGTGCGAGACTGTCAAAAGCGACGTCTGTCAATAGACGGGTCGACCAACAAAACATTGAAAACAAATTGAAAAACTAACATTGACGTTGCTATTTATAGGTTATGTGACTTTGTCGACTTTCTTCCAAAGTCAGTCATAATGAAATCTTCTATAGGGCATGTCCATGTGACATCACAAAGGAGTTTGACAGTCGCCCTGAGGTTGTAGATTAGGCCAGTTATGTTTTATGCGGTTTTCACAGCTTTTTTACAAGTTTTGGATACAAAGAACCTTTTAAAAACGTCTTAATTCCGAACTAATTTTCAGACGTGTGGACGTTGGATACACATGTTTCAAACGGTGTTCCCGAAAACGACCAACAGAAACCTTTATAAAATATCTCTCATGAATTTCCTGAAAACATACTAACGTTCTTTAATTGTTCCTAACAGAGGTTTTAAAAACAACTTAATCAAACGTCTAAAGAAAATCCTTTCTTTACCTTTGTAAATGTAAAACACTCGGACACGGACATTACCAAGTACAGAAACAGTAGTTTTTAAAACATCGAAAAAATTGTCATGCATGAGAACATACATATTATAAATTTTTGCAATATTCCGATAACTCTTCCAGATGGTTTTTTGTAGTAAATGGATATCATCTAGGATATCATATAAGAAGTTGAAATGCCCACTGGTGCTGGTTTAATTGTTCAAAATGACACCTATCCTATAATACAGGGTGTTTGGTACATCGATAGGAAGTTTACAATGATCACTCATTGGAAACTTCCTAACTATCACTAGTTGGGGTTATTTGGAAGCTGTTTGACCATATTTACGCTTATGCAAAGTTCCGTAATTTTTGAGATATCAGCATTTTTAGCAGCATTTTTATGGGAAATATTTGAATTGTTCCTGTAACATATTGTTTTTTTTTTTGGAATAACTTGAAGTGGTTATTTTTTTCAATTTTTTTTCCGATATTCCTGATATGCCTTCTCTTTCGAATAATACGGAAAGAAAAACCGAATGATTGATACAAAAAATATATAGTCCATAAGTTATGTGTCAAAATACATGGATTCAAAATATGTAAAATGCCAATATCTCAAAAAACAGCGAAACTTTGCATGAGGGTAAATATGGTCAAATAGCTTCCAAATAACCCCAACTATCACTCATTGAAATTTTCCTATCGATGTACTCAACACCCTGTATAATTCGCTATTCGATTTATATTTCTTAATTTTTTTTTAAGTCGTTGGTTTCATTTTCTCATATTTTTTGTTGTTGTTGTATGGTATAAATTTGCCGCCCCTGGATCGGGCCGCCCATCTCGCTTCCCCCTTAGCCAAATGACCCCAACTTTCACTCATTGAAATTTTCCTATCGATGTACTAAACACACTGTATAATTCGCTGTTCGATTTATATTTCTTAATTTTTTTTAGGTCGTTGGTTTCATTTTCTCATATTTTTTGTTGTTGTTGTATGGTATAAATTTGCGGCCCCTGGATCGTGCCGCCCATCTCGCTTCCCCCTTAGCCGCCCCTAAGCCAGACAGAAAAGACTAATAGGAATAATAAAAAAATGGACTACCTTCAGAGCTGAAGATCAGTATGTATATAAATGTATGGGTGTTATGACAGTATATGCAGTGTACATTTATGAATGCTTAATGTTCTTCTTTCGCAATAAACACCTTTTTGATAGTAAAACGGAACACAAACATAACACGAGAACATTGGATTTTAAGTATGTACAAGCCACATAGACTTACTTTAAAGGAAAAATCACCCCATTATATTATATGTGTGTCAAATTATTGAATGCGCTCCCTAACCGAATACAAAGTCTTAATTCAGGTAAAAAAATTAAAATAGATATTAAGAAATTGTTATTAAACTGAACCATATCGTTTAAGAGAGTTTTGCCCAGATCTATAATAATTTTATAACATTATGATCTTTTTGACTCTGTTTCATTTCATGTACTCTATTGACTATTGTATTATTGTATTATGATCTTGAATAAAGGAATTTATTATTATTATTATTATTAATAAGAAGAAAAAATGCAAAGCAAAAATTTTAATACAGTGCGGTAAAGAATCTTTACCGCACTGAGAAAATAGTATATTTCCTAACTAGTGCGAAAAGTGCCACTTTTCCGCACACTCGTAGAAAAAAGGTATTGGAAATCAAGGTAATAGCTATTTACCTAACAAGTGCAGAAAATGAATTTTTCTGCAAGGGTTTGGTACAATATTTTTCCTACAGGCGTAAAAATGTATTAGAATTTTTCTTTTTTTTTTTTGACAGC